TTTTTTCAGTACGTGGGCCTCTCACTGTTGTGGCCTCTCCCGTTGCGGAGCACAGGCTCCGGACGCGCAGGCTCAGAGGCCATGGCTCACGGGCCCAGCCGCTCCGTGGCATGTGGGATCCTCCCGGACCGGGGCACGAACCCGTGTCCCCTGCATCGGCAGGCAGACCCTCAGCCACTGCACCACCAGGGAAGCCCAGGGCACCCGCTTTTAAATCTGACAGTAAATCAGTCATATATTCAGTGTAACCTCTGGCAAGAAGTGACTTAACCACTGTAATTCTCAATTCTGTCATATGTAAAGTGGGAAAACTAAAGGGGTTGTTATGGGAACAAACTGAATGCTTGGCAGCTTGATGGTGTGAATATGAGACTTGTTGTGGGGTGAGAGAAACCTTAACATTGAGATGATTGATATGAAACTAATTATATATGCAAGGCTGGACCCAAAGGAGTCTTTTAAGCAGGGGAATGTTGATATGTAATTTTTTTTTCATTCTGAAAGCAATATTTGATAATAATGGAATGATTATGGAAAAACCATCAAAAGTAGTTTAAAATAATACAGATCACTCAGATTCCACTATTAGGCGACAACTATTATGAACATACATAACGGTGGCATAATTAAAATAGTCAGTTTACCCTCCAGAAACACCTCTGGCTCTGCAGTTACCCAAGTCCTTTATTTCAGTGTCATGTCAATAGTTGGTTATAGTTTTCTCGTGAATGTTTCCTGCATATTTCTTAAGTGTGTTTTTCAATATTGCTGTTATAATTGACTTATTTCATTATATTCCTAGCTATTGCATATATATAGGAGAACTGTTAGATTTAGAAGAAGCTAAGATTTCTTTCCTATGAAATGAGGGGATTGGATTAGAATCTTCAAGAACTCTGACATTCTCTGATTCTCTAAATGCGGCTTTTCTCTTTTTTATATGTTATACTTTATAAATCCTTCTCTATAATTATTAATAAAGGGCTTCCCTGGTGGCGCAGTTGTTAAGAACATGCCTGCCAATGCAGGGGACATGGGTTCGAGCCCTGGTCCGGGAAGATCCCACATGCCGCGGAGCACCTAAGCCCGTGCGCCACAACTACTGAGCCTGCGCCCTAGAGCCTGCGAGCCACAACTGCTGAGCCCACGTGCCACAACTGCTGAAGTCTGTGACCCTAGAGCCCATGCTCCACAACAAGAGAAGCCACCGTGATGAGAAGCCCGCGCACCACGAGGAAGAATAGCCCCTGCTCCCAGTAACTAGAGAAAGCCTGCGTGCAGCAACAAAGACCCAATGCAGCCAAAAATAAATAAATTAATAAATTAATTTTTAAAAATTATTAATAAAAATCTTCCCAGCCAGGTTTTGTTTTGTTGTTATATAATTTTGGGTATTTTTAGAGTTTAAATTTTTGCTCCATCCAGAGTATATTTTTTTCTCTTTTCCAAGACATAAGATATCATTGTATTAGTTATAGTTGATGTATTTTATTATGGCAGCTGGGGCTGCCCTAACAGAATACCACACACTGTGTGGGTTAAACAACAGAAATTTTTTTGTGTCACAGTTCTGGAGACTAGAAGTCAAAACTTAAGGTATCAGCAAGGCTGGTTCCTTCTGAGGGCTGTGAGGGAAGGATCTGTTCCAAGTCTCTCTGTTTGGCTTGTAGATAACTATCTTCTCCTCCTGTCTCTTCATACTCTCTTCCCTGTGTGTGTGTGTCTCTCTGTTCAGATTTCTCCTTTTGATGTGGACCTCAGTCATATTGGGTTAGGGTCCACCCTAATGACCTCATATAACTAATTACATCTGCATAACCCTGTTTCCAAATAAGGTCACATTCTGAGGTACTAGGGGTTAGGACTTCAACTTATGAATTTTCAGGGTATACAATTCAGCCTCTAACATATGGCTTCAACATTATTCTTTTCCTGTTAACTGTCCAGTTGTTTCAGTACTTTTCATTGAATAATACATCTTCCTCTCAGCTGTGTGTTTTTTTTAATATTAAACTCAAATCTTTATGTAATGCTATTTCTTTTCTAATTTATTAGTGCACAGAGATACATTTTCATAGTTATATTCAGTGTGTACATATTAACTTATGCTGTTTTTTTCATTTATTCTTTCATGTAAGTATTTCCACATGTTGAAAGAGCTGTATATTATTCCATCAAATTTAAGTAATTGTTTCCTTATTATTAGATACTTGAATTGTTTTCCAAAATTCCTCTCAGCTGCTTTAATGCTGCCCTTAAATTACCATTTGTATTAGGTAGGCATTTTATGATTTACCTCTTCTGTTTTCCTATACTGTCTGGGTCTTCTTGCTAAAGGCAGGATTTTACATTGGTTCTTCCAAATACTCTGATACAAAACGAGACGTAGGTATAGTTTTGCATACTATATTAGAGATGATAAGAATGATCACTTTAGATTAACAGGAATATACTGTTACAGGGGTTAGTATCATTCAAGGATGTGGCTGTGGATTTCACCCAGGAGGAGTGGCAGCAACTGGACCCTGCTCAGAAGACCCTGTACAGGGATGTGATGCTGGAGAACTACAGCCACCTGGTCTCAATGGGTAAGGATGACTTCCCTGTATAACTCAGACTTGTCCAATCAACTGCCTTTCCTTATCAGTCTCTGTGGTTAGGTGGTTCCTGACATATATAATGACTTTTATGATCTTTGTACCTTCCCCAATGGAGGTCATTACTTTGCTAAGGGCCAAGTGTACTACTTCATTGTAGACCTCCTTAAACTGCACCTTCTCTTTTGCCTTCCGTGCAGTCTATCCAAGTTCCTCTGATTTCCATTTAATAGGGCATCCAGTTTCCAAACCAGATGTCATCTCCAAGTTGGAACAAGGAGAAGATCCATGGATCATAAAGAGAGACATATCAAATTGGATCTATCCATATGAAGATCAGGCAGATGGGCGACAAGGGAAGTGAAATATCAGGTTTTTATTTTAATTGATTGATGCCTGAGGCTTATGTTTCTCTCCTTAGTGAATTCTCTTATTCTTTGTTCCTGTGCTGAGAATTTAGTAGGCATTCAACAAATAATTAATCAATTAAATAACTGTGAACCTTTATAGGGGATAGCTATTTCTTATTGATTGTATATGTATATATTATGTATTAAATATATATTTGTTTAATATATTTAATATATATTTAATGCATTTTATGAAGAGGCTTAATAGGCAATAGAAGGCAAATTCCTTCTAAGAACACAGGTTGCATTACAGAATTAAATGTCAAATACTGCTACTGTTTTTAAAAGTTCAGAGAAAATTAGAGTCTAAAGAAATGAAACAGAATTTGAAAAAGCATTTTTCAGAGCATGCAGCTGTAGCTGCTTTGAAAGATATATTGAGTATTGATGATGCTGAGAGAGGGAGGTGAAGACAAACTGTTGATGGGGGGTGGGCATGAAGAGTATATGAACAAAACCTTGAAGTTAGGGAAATATGGCTTTTCTGGGAGAACTTTGCTAGTTTTATTTGATAATGTATAGAAAGAATTTATGGGGAACTGTGGAATTCAAGCTTGGATTCTTGGTATGAATCTGATACTGAATCCACAGCAGGATTTTGGGTTTTTCTGTTGTTTGTATTAGTCGTTATTTAGGAAAGTAGACTGAGGAGAGTTAAAGTATTTTGAATACAGAAGAGACCTTGTTTTTTTGGCTAGTGGTAGCAGGATAATACTAGTCAAGTATATATAGCAAATTATAAAATAAACACATTTGAAAGGTGAAAAGCATTTCCCTTCAGAAAGCAGGAGAAATGGGAAGACTCTAAAAGAGTAATCCAAGATTAGAGTGATAATAGCTCAGATAGTTTTCTGTCTCTTTCAGGTATAGTTTTTCCATAAATATTTCGCTTTAACAACCTTGTCTAACCATTTCCCTCATCATACTGTTTGCTGTCTGTCTTATGAAATGGCCTGTCTCATCCCTGTTTTGAGTTCATCACCTTCATTGGATCAGTCATTTTTTATACTCCTCTGCATTCTGTTAATTATTCTTTATGACTGTTTTATCTTTCTTTCCTTTAGACAGGAAAAGTAACCTTGACAACACCCAATCATGTATTTTGGGGTCTGTTTCCTTCCATAATAAGATACTGAAAGGAGTCACAAAGGATGGTTCATTTTACTCCATATTAAAAGTCTGTCAAGGTGATGGCCACCTGCAGAGATGTCAGAAAAACAGACTTTTCAGGCAAGTAACAGTCATCAACAACAAAACAATGACTGTGGAGTCAGTCGACAAATATAATGCATTGGGGAAAATATTTCAAGAATGCATAGGGTCAGATACTTCAAGACAAAGACCCCATAACTGTGATGCATTTAAAAATGACTTGAAATCTAGTATTGACCTACCTAGTTGTAATAAGAGCAATTCAGGAAAAAACCCTGATGAGAGTTTTGGATGTGGAAAATCATCCATCCATGGTGTGTCCAATCCTGATCTTGAGAAAATTCACAATCGAGTAATTCCCTGTGATGATAATGAGTGTGGAAACATTTTAAGCAAGAAACAATCCCTTATTCAGTATCAGAATATTGAAACTAAGGAGAAAACCTGTGTATGTGTTACATGTGGAAAAGCCTTTGCTAAGAAGTCACAGCTCATTGTACATCAACGAATTCATACTGGGAAGAAACCATACAATTGTGGTGCATGTGGGAAAGCTTTCAGTGAGAAGTTTCACCTCATTGTACATCAAAGAATTCATACTGGGGAGAAACCTTATGAATGTTCTGAATGTGGAAAAGCCTTCTCTCAAAAATCATCCCTCATTATACATCAAAGAGTTCATACTGGGGAAAAGCCATATGAATGTAGTGACTGTGGGAAAGCCTTCTCCCAGAAATCACCCCTCATTATACATCAGAGAATTCACACTGGAGAGAAACCTTATGAATGTAGAGAGTGTGGTAAGGCCTTCTCTCAGAAGTCACAGCTGATTATACATCATAGAGCTCATACTGGAGAGAAGCCCTATGAGTGTACTGAATGTGGGAAAGCCTTCTGTGAGAAGTCCCACCTCATCATACATAAAAGGATTCACACTGGAGAGAAACCCTACAAATGTGCTCAGTGTGAGGACGCCTTCAGTAGAAAGTCAGAACTCATTATACATCAGATAATTCATACTGGGGAGAAACCTTACGAATGTACTGCATGTGGGAAGACTTTCTCCCGGAAGTCACAGCTCATTATACATCAGAGAACGCATACTGGAGAAAAGCCCTATAAATGCAGTGAATGTGGAAAAGCCTTCTGTCAGAAATCACATCTCATTGGACATCAGAGGATTCACACAGGAGAAAAACCTTATGTTTGTACTGAATGTGGGAAAGCCTTCTCTCAAAAGTCTCACCTCCCAGGACATCAGCGGATACATACAGGAGAGAAACCTTATGTATGTGCTGAATGTGGAAAGGCATTTTCTCAGAAGTCAGACCTTGTTTTACATCAGAGAATTCATACTGGGGAAAGACCTTATCAGTGTGCTGTATGTGGGAAAGCCTTCATCCAGAAATCACAACTCACTGTACATCAGAGAATTCACAGCAGTGGTAAAATCATAATGAACTAAAAACACAGACAAGGTTTCAGTATTAGCTCAAGCCTTAATAAACAACAGAAACCTGATTAATTTGATAAATTTGTGGACAACATCTTTATAGAGAAAATTTTACAAGAGAATTCGTGTCTGTAGTGTGGTGATACCTAACTCAGCAAAGATGATGGGAAATAATTACATAAATGAAGGACATTTCACCATGGCGTGTAAAACTTTTAAAGCCATGAACTAAATGGTCAGTAGAACAGATTATGTATATAGAATATTGTCAAATTACATATTCCTTATTATGCCATAACAATAAACACATTGTGAAATTGCTAATATTAGCTTGCCATTATTTTGGCCATGTACAGTAATTCCCTATAAAGGGCATGAAGAAAACTTGAGTTAAAAAAATCAATTCCTGGGCTTCCCTGGTGGCGCAGTGGTTGAGAGTCCACCTGCCGATGCAGGGGATGCGGGATCGTGCCCCAGTCTGGGAAGATCCCACATGCCGCGGAGTGGCTGGGCCTGTGAGCCATGTCCGATGAGCCTGCACGTCCGGAGCCTGTGCTCTGCAACGGGAGAGGCCACAACAGTAAGAGGCCCACGTACTGCAAAAAAAAAAAAAAAAATCAATTCCTAGAAACTGTATTAATAAGGAGGGGCTTGGGAGTTCCCTGGTGGTAGGACTTGATGCTTTCACTGCTGTGGCCCAGGTTCAATCCCTGGTCGGGGAACTAAGTTCCTGCAAGCTGTGCAGAGCAGCCAAAAAAAAAAGGGGGGGGGGTTGCTTAACATGATTTCTAAATATACATGTAAAATTCTTATACAAAGATGGAAAGATAGGTTGATCAGATTCAGTAAAGGTGATAATTATACATTTTCCCATCTCAAGCATATAAGTTGATCTGTATCTCTGGAAGGACCCTTGACCTTGAAATTGATGCTTCTTGACCAAATCTCCTCTTTACTCTCCCTTACTGGGAGTTTGGTATAGTGGAAAGACTTTGGTACTGAACCAGATGGTTTGGGTTTTAATCCTGGCTCAACTACTCAAAAGATTGTGTGACTTCAGGCAAGCCTACTTTACACATCTGAATATTTTTTCTTATTGGTAAATAAATGTACAGTGTAGAGCACACTTTGTTAATATTAGTTCTTTTCATCTTTCTATTGTCCTATAACAGGATGCTAAGACTAATATGATACATCTGAACTTGCTTTGCAGTCCGGATACTCTGCTTATGTACCCCATTCCTATGACTGATTGATTTAACTGTCTTTGACCATGGTAGTCTTGATTCTTGGTATGTTAAAGTGAGATTTTATTATACTTTTATTATTTTTTGCATACATTTATATAAGCCGTTGTGTTTGCACATAAAGACCCCGTCTAATGTCACTTTAGTTCCTTTATGACCCCTGTCCTGCAGCTGCAACTGTTCTCCCTGGAGCTGAGGACACTTAACAAAGGAAAACTCTTGGGGTAAGAATTCATGCCTGCCATAGATTTGAGAACTTAATACCTCTAAAATTTCTCCTGCCCTCCTTCCTGTGGTCCCCCATATTCCTGCATGAGCAACTTAAAATGAGGACTCCTGCTGGAGCTACTCTGCAGGAGAGCATACCTGGCAAGGATGAGGGTGTCCATATGGTAAAACATGGTTTACCCATGTTCACATTGTTCTTCCCTTAGTTTCTATTTGATTCCTTCACATTTCATGCCCACCTTATCCCTTTGCTGCATGGCTGAACTATCTATTATGAAACTGGGTGAGAATCTCTGCAGGGGAGAGGGCATACCTGATGGAGAGGGATGTGGGAACCTGTGTGGGCAAATTTCTGGTCTCATTATTAACACTGAGTTGATAGCACTGTCATCAGATATAACTGGCCATTCATATCTGGGATAGAAGGCCTAAGAGTACACCTCATGGGTTGAGCTACTCTGAGGGTTCCTCATGGAAGATGTCCTAACTAGCTCTTATGGAGACATGAGAAGGACAAGGGATCATATTGGCAATATAGAGAAATTTAGTGAAGAGGGGGTTTTATATAGTGACAGGTATGGACCTTATATAGGTTTAAAAAAGATTCACAGTTCCCACCTCATAGACTTCCCATTTGATCCTTCCACTGTTACAGCTCCCACACAGCCTCATTGATCTGATAATGGGTTTCTATAAAAATCTCATTTCAGGTTTAGCACCTCCTGGTTTAACATTTCACCAGCTTTTTTTTTTTTTCAGCTTTTTACTGGAGGAGCTAGCCAGTGCAATGAGGCAAGAAAAAGAAGCAATAGGCATATTCAGAGTCTAAAGATACTTAAAAGTTATTGAAAAGATTTGAATACAACTAAATTAAAAAGAAAAAAGCCAATTCTACAATATCTGTTCCAGAAAAGAGAAGAGGAAGGATCTCTGACATATTTTATGAGGCTACCATTATCCTGATGCTAAAGCCAGACAGACATTACAAAAAAAAAAAAAAATTAGTGACCAGTATTTCTTCTGAACATAGCCACAACCATCCTTAACAGACTATTTGCAAATCAAGTCTAGAAATATTTTGAAAAAAAAAGTACATCATGGCTAAATAGAGTTTAATTCAAGAATGCAAGTATGGTCCAATGTACAAAAAAAGTTTGGTATGATTCAACATACCAATAGCCTAAAAAGAATAACTATATGGTCATTTCTATAGATGGGGGAAAATTATTTGACAAAAATTCCACATCAATTTAGAATAAAAACTCAGCAACTAGGAATAAAGGGCAGCTTCCTCAAATTGTTGAAGGACATCTATAGAACATCTAAAGTTAGCATATTTAATGGTGAAAGACTAAATGTGTGCCCCCAAATTGGGAAATGTTAAAGATGTCTATTCTGCTCTTCCTAGTGAATATTGTACTGGTGATCTTAGCCCATGCAGTAGGGAAAACAAAATAAGTTGGAGGGGGTGTGGAGTGAGGGGGCAGAGCATACAGTCAGGAAAGGAAAATAAAATTGTCTTTATTTGCAGATAACATGGTCTTCTACACAGAAGATTTCAAAGACTACAAAAAAATCTACTAGACCTGATAAATGGGTTTCACAAAATATCTTAAAAAGTGAGGAGATATACTATATTTACAGATAGAAAGATTCAATATTGACTGTTAAGATATCCGTTTTCCTCAAATTGATCTATATATTTATTGCAATCACCCACAAAAAATCTCAGCAGACATTTGTGTAGAATTCGACAATCTGATTCAAAAATGTACATGGAAATGCAAAAGACCTAGAATAAACAAGACATCTTTGGAAAGAAAGAAGACTCATATTACCTGACTTCAAGGCTTATTATAAAGCTAGAGTAATCAAGTATATAGTATTGGCATAAGAATAGACAGGTCAATGGAACAGTATAGTCTAGAAGTCAAACCACACATATGAATAACAGACTTTTAGCAAAGTTGTCAAGGTAACTCAATGGACAGAAGGTAGTCTTCAACAAACAATGCTGGAACATTTGGAAATCCATATGCAAAAATAAAACAATACGAAAAACTCTTGATTCCTAGCTCATACTCATGCTATATCTAAAAATCAACGTGAAAAAGGTCATGCGCATAAATGTAAACGTGGAAACTATAAAGTTCTAGAAGAAAACAGAAAGTAATTGTGACTTTCATTATGCAAAGATTTTTCAAAGACAAAAACCCCACAAAACATGACATTAAAAGCTGATAGAGTTCCTTATAATAACATCTATTCTTCTAAATACAGTGTTAAGAAAATGCCTAGTTATACTACTCCAGTCATTAAGTTTAGACCACCTTCAGTGGACTTGGAAAGGGATCAGAACATACTGTTTTAAATTGCGAGTCTGTACTGTTCCATTCATACTTTTCATAAAATCCTTAATATTTTACTAGTATTTCATCTAACACTGAAAATAATGTTCCCCAACCACGTTAGCAGAATTACTAAATTATTTTGCTTATAGTATGCTTAAACAAAGTTCAAATTTTCAACACTAATATTACTAAAACTGTAAAAACAACAGAGGAACAAAGTCTGTTCTTATGTTGATTCCTTAGCTTTAATATTTTTCCATTTCAATGGCTATAAAAATTCAACCAAATGAAAAATAGTTACATTAATAAGCTAAAAATGCCAACAGGATAAGTATTCAAGGAGATATAGTCGGAAGATCTGCGAAAGCTCAACTTCCCCTTCTTTTATATATATATATATATATATATATATATATATATATATAGAAGTATAATTGCTTTACAGTGTTGTGTTAGTTTCTGCTGTACAACAAAGTGAATCAGCTATATGTATACATATATCCCTATATCCCCTCCCTCTTGAGCTTCCCTCCCACCCTCCCTATCCCACCCCTCTAGGTTGTCACAAAGCATCAAGCTGATCTCCCTGTACTATGCAGCAGCTTCCCACTAGTCATCCATTTTACATTTGGTAGTGTATATATGTCAATGCTACTCTCTCGCTTCGTTCCAGCTTCCCCTTCCTCCCCTGTGTCCTCAAGTCCATTCTCTACATCTAAGTCTTTATTCCTGCCCTACCACTAGGTTCATCGGTACTGGGTTTTTTTTTTCTTAGATTCCATATATGTGTGTTAGCATACGGTATTTGTTTTTCTCTTTCTGACTTACTTCACTCTGTATGACAGACTCTAGGTCCATCCACCACATTACAAGTAACTCAGTTTCATTCCGTTTTATGGCTGAGTAATATTCCATTGTATATATGTATCACATCTTCTTCATCTATTCATTTGTCAATGTACATTTAGGTTGCTTTCATGTCCTGGCTATTGTAAATAGTGCTGCAGTGAACATTGTGGTACATGTCTCTTTTTGAATTATGGTTTTCTCTGGGTATATGCCCAGTAGTGGGTAGTTCTATTTTTAGTTTTTTAAGGAACCTCCGTACTGTTCTCCATAGTGGCTGTATCAATTTACATTCCCACCAACAGTGCAGGAGGGTTCCCTTGTCTCCACACCCTCTCCA